ATATATATATATATGTGTATATTTTTGTGCAAAATGTGTACATTCAATATCAAACTAAACATAACGAACGGCTATATGACATTTTCTCTGCGATGTTTTGCTTTCAGTCAAAGATGAACAACACACTAGCGGTAGCTATTCTGCTGGGCTGCGTTGCCGGCGCCCTCTGTAGCGGTCTGTACGGTGCAGGCGGTGGATACGGAGGAGGTCTGGGAGGAGGTCTGGGAGGAGGTCTGGGAGGAGGCGGCTACGGAGGCCACGGAGGAGGTCTGGGAGGAGGCGGCCACGGAGGCCACGGAGGGATTCTGGGAGGAGGCGGCTACGGAGGCGGCTACGGAGGAGGTCTGAGAGGAGGCGGCTACGGAGGCGGCTACGGCTACGGTAACGGCGGCCACGGCGGCCACGGCGGCCACGGCGGTGGCGCCCTCTTCGGCGGCTTCGGCGACCTGGGTGTCGGCAGCATCGGTCTTCGTAACTTCGGCGGAGAATACGTCGACGTCGAAGGTTTCACGTTCAACCAGGGCCGTGCCGACGCCGCCGCCTCCGCTCCCGCCGGATCTGCTATCGCATCCCGTCCGGCCGTCATCGGCAGCCGTCACAGATCCGGATCCGCGAACCAGTTCGAGACGAGCGCGGCCGAGAGAAGCGGATCCGGATCGGGACGTGCGGGCGTGTCCATCAGCGCTGCCCGGCAGGCACAGCAGAACGCCGCGCAGCAGTTCAGTCAGCAGGCTGCCGGAGCCGGACACGCCCGCGCCGGAGCCGCGTACGGATTCCACAAGTATCCGGATGTCGCCTACCAGCCCGTGCACGTCGCCTCGCATCCGGTCAAGTACGGACCGACGCGCCGTCACGGCTACGGTGGCGCCCACGGCGGCGCTCACGGCGGCGCTCACGGCGGCGCTCACGGCGGCGTGAACGGTGGCGCTTACGGTGGCGCCCATGGTGGCGCTCACGGCGGCGTGAACGGTGGCGCTTACGGTGGCGGCCACTAGAGCGCGCGTCGCTCCGGTCCGCCATCTTTGATCTGCGAAACTTGATTCTGAGATTGAAACTTGAAACGAAGCTTTCTATGATCTTTGAGCAACGAAATTTTCGGCGACGACAAATAAATGACCCCCCCCCCTTCGAATTGAACCCGGTCAGAGATTTGAGTTCCGTGAGGATGATCCATACGGAAACCGATTCCCGACCGCGGATGACTCATTAATCATATTTCCTATATTTCTCAAAAAATTATGTAAATCTGAGAGCGGTATTGATCACCGAACAGTAAAGACAAAATTGATCGTAGATCGATCGCCATACGATAGTACGTGTACGATCGTATGCGCGGTAACTGAAGCATATGTGAAACCCACGTGTAGGTCACGTGGAGAAATTGGGAGATTTTTGGCCGAGTCTTTACCTGCAACGTGTTAAGCAATTGTGATATTTATAAGGCCATCGTATACTATGTATTTATGTTATTTATATTATAATAAATAATTTTGCACTGAAACTTGAAGAATGTCTATGAAGGTTTTGTTTACATCATATGTGTGATCGCCTCTTATAACCCCTATATTGCTCTAAGCAGAACCGTAGCGCGTATATATATATATATATATATATATATATATATATTATATATTTATATATATATATATATATATAATATATATATATAGTATATATACATATTCAAGCTTAAGTACTGGTGGGCTCAGACATAAACTACATCATTCAATTTAGCATTATTGTAGCCTACCAATATAGCTGTCAACATATTTGCTCCACACACACATACACACATACCACACAACACACACACACACACACAACACAGTCACAACACACGCACACACACACACACACACCACACAACACACCAACGCCACGCACGCACGAACCACGCAACACACGCAAACGCACTCACGCACGCACGCGCGCATCACAACACACACATACACACACACACGCCACGCGACATCACACCACGGCACTACAACCCGACGCCATCGCAGCACCGGCGCACACACACGCACGCACAACACACGCCCGCCGCGGCACACGCACCACCATGCACACGCACACGCATGCACAACAAACACAACACACACACACACACACACACACACACACACACACACACACACACACACACACACACACACAGCGCGGGAAACACTCCACACGGAAAGCGTAAAATTTTTACGTGTGGGGACAGTAGCTTAAATTATGTCTATTATATTAGAAGCAATATAAAAGTTGAGTTTGCCTAGTTTAGACTTTAGCTGACATAGGTATGGTCATAGGGTCATAAATACAGCA